TCACATCAGCTTTACTCCTGTCTCCTGTCATTATTGTTTCCTTCTGCCTTCCTCTCCCCTCCCTCATCACATCAGCTTTACTCCTGTCTCCTGTCATTTATTTCAAAATGCTGCTGATTAATTATGAATCAATGTTCTTATTTTTTCACTTCTGTCCTCCTTGTCCACGAATTAAGTTTTACCTTTAGACTCCTTTTCTTTTATTTACCTTGTGGCATCCATGTGGCTGGCATTGTGTTCTCCCCCTTCACTTCATTTGGACAAAAGAAGGAATGGAATGGAATTGCTCACATTCCCTTTAAACTCAATCTTTAATTAATTCAATTAAAAAAAAAAACTACCTATCAGGATTTCTGAAAGTAGAATTATAATGTATTTTGATAGTCTGCAGCTAAAAGAGACTGTAAAAGGTAGAAATGAACCTAATTAAATGAATGTGAACCATCTCAATAGTATAGAACTTTCAAAACATTACTTTCTAAAATGAATTTCAAGACTGCAGCTTAATGAAGCATCTTTTCTCATTTGGATTCCAAAGGGAGGAAGTGGGGGGGGTATCAGGCATTCAGAAATTTCAGTAGGTAAGTTGGTAAACAAACATTGTGGGTTTGGATATTTTGTGGAATTAGAGGATTAAATTCAAATAATATATTGTTTCTGTAACATGGTATTAAATAACTTGCATTTATTTTTCAGTTGAAAAACAAATATGGTGATGCCTTTTTAAGGGGGAACAATGGTACGTATGTAGCCATTATGATCCAAGTCTGTTGAAACCACACTTCTTATTCTACATAGTAAAGATGATGAAATAGGAAAAGTGAAATAGACCCCCATGCCTTTTTTAAAAAGTAAAGAAACGAGATAGAATTAACTGCTTGTTAAAATTCCATTGTCTTTTGTACCTAAATGATTTTCTTTGTGTTCTCTGTACTATCCTTTCAGTAGCTAGGGTTTGCATGGAAATTTTTTCATTCATTATAGTTCTTCATTGATATCAGCTAGCTTTGCAAGTGTGAACCACACACCTTCACTATGTATCCCTTTTGAACACCCGAGAGTCACTAGGATCTCATTTGTCCTTAGAAATGTGTGTTTATGATGTGTGTTTTCCTTTTCAGTGTTGTACATCAGTACACAAAAGACAAGTAGAAGATAAAAAACAGGAAAGTGGATGAAAGAAAACATCAGACCACAGCATAAACATAACATAAACATAATATAAACATAACATAACATAAACATAACATAAACATAACATAAACATAACATAAACATAACATAACATAAACATAACATAAACATAACATAACATAACAACATAACATAAACATAACATAAACATAACATAACCTTTATTTAACATGTTAATCTGCTCATGGTTCCGTGTAAAGAGAAGTTTTGCTTATGGTTCCTTGTAAATAGCAGTTTTGTATTCTTCAGTGTAGAATTCAATAAAGTCAGTGTTATCCGGTACCAAAGCGGAAAGCTGCTGTGGTTGACGTTTCTGTTGTTTCTATGGTCACTTTACGGCAGTACTGAACACAGCTTAACTTCAGGCATTTCTAAACAGTCAATCAACGTTGAGCACAACCTCTCAACATTTTTCAAATACTCAGCCTTTTTCTCATCTCTGATTGGCTAGGAGAACACGAGTATTTGACTGGGTTGAAATTCGCAAACGATCGTGATGTGAAAGAGACTCTATCTTTGCGTAAGTCAGTCCGAAAGTTAATTTTACGATTTCAGTGATTATTCCAATGCCGCCAACAGTATAAAAGATGGAAGTGTAAGTTAAATCTCTACCTTAGAAGACAATTTAGACTAAGACGAAGTGAACCGACACAAAAGGAAGATTAAAATCTGCAAAGACCGATGAAGGTTGAAATTTTACAGCTGGCTTCTGGTTACAGTCCTCGCAAAGTTATGTGGGCTTTTGAATGCAATTTTACACCTTTTTCTCCAAAAAAAAAAATACTACGAAGAGAGGAACTCCAGCATCTCTGCCTTTGCCAAATCGTCATTACCACCGTATCTATCACCATCTAGAATGGCGGGAAGCGTCAAACTCAATTTCTTTGCCGATGAATGAGAGGGGAAGACTTTTCCACCGGCTTCAATGGATCTACGAGTAGCTGAGTATGAAAACATCAATTCCACGTGTGATGAATCCATTTTTTTATCGAAGAAGTGACAGCTTTGCGTAGTTATCACAAAGGTTCACATTTTTTGCCTGCACACTTGTTTGCCTCCTTTGGGTTGCGGAAAACAGTTGTAATCCATTTTGCGTTCACATTTCTCATTTTTTGCCTCATATTTTTGTGTTGGCTAGTTTTCGAAGGTGAAACAAATTTCAGAATTTTCAGCGTTATAAAATTTGGACACATTGTTTATCAAATTCCTTCTAGCTTATCGCGCACGAGCTATCGAAGGTTTGCTCGCTCTGTATGACGAAAAACTCGTAAGAGATGGTTTCCATGGATTCTCGCTCAAAACAAAATCATGTCTAAGCTATCGGTGCGATCAGTATCGAAACTCGGAGCTTTGAAAATTTGCATTATTTTACGGACTGATTTGAGAAACAACTACTTAAAACAAACCAAAAAAAACAAAGCGAACTTTACGTTAGTAAGGATTGTCATCGAGCGAGAATAAACCGCGGGTGAGACGCGATGGCTTCGTGGCTTCACCCTGAAAAGAAACGCAACCAAAATCTCAATCCTTCTCTGCATCGGAAATCAAGAATACCGGTCAGAATGACTCGCCCGAGCAGAGAGAGTGACAGAAGATTTTCGTCAAAGCACGAGGCCGATAGCAAAGCGCGGCTGCAGAGAAATTCAGTCAACAAACCTCAAAACAAGCGATCATCGCGGAATCCGATTGTGGTGCGCGAGAAGAAGACCAAAGTTGATACTAAAGTTGGTCCAGCTAAGATTGTCAAAATAACTGGAGTAGGAAAACCTCTTAGAAGAGATTCAGGTATGTCTTGTCGGTTGTTGGCTGGCTTCATTTTTCATTCAAGCCCTACATCGAAAACTGAAGAGATTTTAGAAAACGGTTTCAAATGAGCAGCCGGAATTACAGAAGAGATTGGATCATACCATGATACGCCGTACGCAAAAGGCATGAATAGCAGTTTAGATAAACCGTATTTCATTTTTGCGGAATACATGTTATACCGGGCTTAAAAAGAAATTTCAAAGTTGTTTATTTAAAATTCGATGATAAAGACTCGCTTCAACTTTTATTTTATTCATTGAGGGCAAGACTTACTAATGATCATTATTTATCACAACATTTCTATTCATTTGATTTATATTTAGCTCTTTATTTTCATATCTATTCTTTAATCTTTATTTATTTTAACTTCGGTCTCCTGAATGAAATTATTTCCCAAGTTGCAGAGATTTTGACACCCCCCTCCCAAAAAAAAAAGAAAGAAAGAAAGAGATCGATGTAGGCCGCTTAAAACATAAATCATCTCAGTGATCTCAAGCTGCTTAATTAGTTGAGCTCGTTTGCACAAACTAGAGGCAGATTACTGCCGTTACAATATTATGAGATTTTCTAAGGAAATAATCTGTTAGCGACTGATTTTTCTTAGGGGGGAGCTAATCGGTAATCTTGATTTAATCACAGGTACTAACCTGCGAGAAACTCAAAGAAAACAGGACAAGAAGGAAGCAAGCGCCATTCCTTCAACTACAGCTATTTGTGGCAGTTTAAGGTGCGCTCAGAAAACGACGCCAAATGTCAAGCGACGTATATCACGACAGCGTACACCCATAGACACAGAGTCGAAACAGGTAATCTTGAATAACATATAATACTCGAAGCAAGAAAACTGTTTTATGAACATATATCGTTAGTAGAGTATCTCACATTGACAACTGTCTTCTGAGGGACTTGAAACTTAATGTCGTGATTGGCTCCCCCCCTTTATGTAAATTCGAAAGAAGAAGAAAAGTGGCTAAGTCGTAAACGGAATCGCAAATCATAATTACGATTGTCACTCATTTATATCATGTCTTCCGGCTTCATTTCTGTGGGTTATCACCATCATAGTTAAAAAAAATAGTCACCTACTTTCTCTCCAGAAATTCAACAACTGCGACAAAAAATAATCCTTGTTTTGCTTAAATAAACAGGTCTGCAAAGATGGGAAAGATCCCCGCGTCATTACTGAGGAACTTCAAATGTACCGAAGGACGATAGAAACTTTGCAGGCTGACCTGGATGAGAGCAAAGTTGATATAAAGCGACTGCAGCTTAAGGAAGAATACCAAGAAAGAGAGCTGGCGAATTTAAAATGTGATTTTAAGAGAAAGGAGCGAAAATGGGACGAAGGAAATAAACTCGTGGAAAAGGTTATGGCGGACATAAACGAACTATGGGATGATGTTGATTACTTGGAAGAAAGATTGAAGCACAGTCAAGAAAGCAATGAAGATCTGACGTTTGAGACTGATGAGCTGAAGATAACGATACAGGAAATGAAGAAGGAGTATAGGGTGGAACACAGTCGCGGTGGATGCGGACATCTACGCGAAGAAGTAGAGTTACTAAATGGATCCCTGGAGTTGAATGAACAGCGAGTAGCTCTGTTAGAGAGCCAAGTTGACGCGTTTAAAGCAGAAAGAAAAGAGTTATTGGAGGATGTTGACTACTTGGAGGAAAGATTAAAGAACAGTCAAGAAAGCAATGAAGATCTGACGTTTGAGGTTGATGAGCTGAAGATAACGATACAGGAAATGAAGGAGTATGGAATGGAACACAGTCGCGGTGGATGCGGACATCTGCGCGAGAAAGTAGAGTTACTAAATGGATCCCTGGCGTTGAATGAACAGCGAGTAGTTGTGTTGGAGAGACAGTTGCATGAGTTGAAATGTGAAACTTCAAAGACAATCAGCGAACTTAATGATGAAATTGCTAAGTTACAAAAAGAAAAGTCCACATCGTTCTTGGAACTATCAAAGGAATTGGAAGAAGATAAAAATGTAATCGAGGAGATAAGGCAAGAAAGATGTGACAAGGACCACCTCGAACTACAGTCTGAAAGAATAAGAGAACTTGAGACTCAAATACAAAGAATGGAGGACATAAAGAGAAACGCAATTCACTTAGTTGATGCCTTGGTGCTTGAAGCAAGACAAGAAAGGTCAGAATCTGAAATTGCCAAGCTGACAAGAGAAAAGGATAGGGAGTTCAAGATCGACTTATTGCTCAATGGACTCCAAAACATTTTTTCTGAGTCATCCCGTGAGGTGAGATGTTTACTCTGCTAAGCTCGAGACTCAAGGGCGAGTAAGAGCGATCCAAAAGCGCGCCGGAGAGGATGAAAACGAAAACTACCATAATTTTTGGGTGTGGACTTTTTGCACTTTTTAGATGTAACTGTCATAAAATTTTGACGTGCATGGATATTTTGAAGCGTGTTATTAATTTTTTTTTTGTCATACCACACATAGGAAAACACCTTTAGCACCCTGGAAACCAGGAAGGAAAAAGCAGCTTTATACCAAATGATGTTTTTGGAAGATGAGAGTAATGTGGCAGCTAGTGGTCAGGGAGACACCAAGAATAAATGGTCAGTAATATTTATTGTTGCAAGGATATTATATACTAGTTTTAGATAAAGCTACAGCTGTACGTTTCAGAATCCATCTTTTTCCTCGCTTTTTATCATCGTTGTTAACTCGAAAAGTTCACCACATGAAGAAGTCTGAGCATTGAAAGGGAGATTGATGGTCAAACAAAACTCGACAAACTATTTCGCAAGCGGATATAGACCCAACTTTTTTTTTTTTAAGAAGATTTTCCCTGGCGGCTCATCCACCAAACTAAGTAGAAGCAAGATATTTGAAAAATTTGGTGAATATAAAACCTTAAAATAGGCACTGGGATCCTGAAGCATCCTATAATTAACACTAACGCAGTAATAACAAGATGCTTACCACGCATAACTGATAATTTACGGGGGGTAGATCCACACGTTCCTCAACCTTTTCCCTGTTATCTATCAAAAGGTAATTTAGCGGTGAGTGTTTCTTACTTTTAATTGCAGGGTGAATACCTCTGGGATGGAGAAACGTTTTGAAACAAGGGGAAACCGCGCCAGTGATATCGCTGAGGTTCACCATACAATGCGGAAACTTTCAGCACACGGATCGTCTAAGAAAATCTCGATCCTTCTCTGCAAAGGTTAAAGTTTTGCAGGAGAACTATCGATGCGACATATTGGAAAAGTGATTAAATAAGATATTTATATCATTGAAAATTGTGCGTGCAATTGAAATAATATTGAATTTAATTTTGTTTTAGCGAGAATATGCTTTCCTTCTGTAGATAAATGTTTTTTTTTCTAAGCATTCACGCTTAGAAATAACAGTTATTTATTATTACAAGTGGACATATATTAAAACACTGTAAAAATTCATAAATCTTTTTCTGTCAGGGAAGGGGACAGTACAGAACAGGTGGAGGAGCAATATTCTTCTTACAGCTAACGGGCCAGTAGTCTTAGTGGGCCTTAGGGTGAATTTGACCCCCTAAAAAACAGATGTTTTATAGTTTCCCTCTTATCTCGTTTAGTAATGCAAACTCTTAACTTTGTTCGCGAAAATCACCGGAAACGGTTCGAAGAAACCATATTGTCAAGAAAGTCCCAAACGCTATCGCACTAAATGTGCTTTGGTCGTAAGAAACCTGCGAGGGACCATTTTCCGCTGCTAAGTATTACCTCGCACCAATCAGATCACAGTAATACGGTAGATATCTCGTACCAATCAGATCACAGCATTAGGCTAGGTAGCTCGCACCAATCCGATCACAGCATATAGGGCTGATATCTGGCACCAATCAGATCACAGCAATAGGGTATCGATACTTAACTCGCTCTATTCAGATCAGAGCAATTGGGTATGTTTACACTAATCAGAACGTCAGGGTACTTTCCCCTACGCCAATTATCATTTAATTAGGGTGCCAAAAAATAATGCAATGTAATCAACCGAACATTGACGCACACTAAGAAAGTCGTTAATATAGAATTCTGAGCTCATCTACCCAGTGTAATGGTTCATGTCCTCTACTGTGATCTGTCGAGGTTAGAAAACGTGTTTTGTGTACCGCTCCTTTTATTACAACACACGCACCGTCAGCAGTCAGCTTCGCTCTCTGAAAATTGGGTTTAGGGCTAGATAATGTCTACGGACAAATGTCTAAGCATATTTTCGCGCCAACTGGAGGCTATAGGTTATTCAAGTGTGCGCGTTATGTCTCAGTTATTCCACCAGTAGTTAGATTCCACCCTCATCTTGTAAGCTTTAAAACAAAGATGCGCAAGATCGCGGTTTAGGGACAGCTGGCAAAAACAAGAAATAAAGCTGAAAAGGTTTTTTTTAAAAAAAAATTAATTTCCAAAGTCAGGCAATCATTTACAGCTTTGAAAGAAGTTCCAAAAATATTCACAGTTTACTTGCACAATACTAGTATAGGCATATTTCGATATAGGTTTGTACCTGCTTAGCATTTTTTTAGGGTAATGTACAATAACACTACGTTTGTTTTTAGCGAACTGGTTACATGGGCCTTCGGTTGTTCTTTGTCAGGCCCTTCAAGTTTGTGTTGCAGGGAAAGAGATGGAAGTGTGCTAAACTGAGAAATCCTTATTCCATAAAAAAATCTCATTCTCTTATTCTAAGAGCACACTTGTAAATAATCATTTTAGCTAACATGTTAACACTTCTAGGAACAAATAAAAATAATTTTTACTCCAAGCGCAGAAACACCTTAAGAAAAATACCTCTCGTTTAAGGAACTACGTAAAAAAGAGACTTGCCAACCTCACGTTTTGACTTTGCTAACTTTGAAATTTTCACCCGCTAAGGTAAGAACAAGGAGCGCAGAAGAAATTTCCGAGTTCAGAGCACCAAATATTTTCATAGCCGCTGTTTTCCGCATTAAATCTTAAACGGTAGAGGCTACGACGTCGCTATTGGACCTTAGTTCACCCGAAATTAATTAAATTAAAATTATTACGTTAAAAATAAATCGAATCTCGTTTAAGGTGTCCTGACTCAGTCCCCTTGAAATACGAATTTAAAACAGCAATATTAGTTATCTAGAATTGTGTATACCTTCTCTACAGTCTGAAGAATCCAATATACAGCACCTAGAACATTTCTGGTCCAGACACAGAAGCATGCTAATCACGTTACGAAAACAAAGCGTCACTCGTGCGTCACAGCACCAAACTCGCTGATGAAAGTATCAATTCATTATTTTCATTACTCGCAAAGGATAGTTAATACGATCGTGTCATTTTATCAGTGCATCTAAATACAGACGCATTTTTTTCATAGTCAGTATTCCTTGGCGTAAGCTCTTTGAGTCAAAGGAGGCTTTTGCTGTCAGCAGCATCTACCATTAGTCCAATCTACATCACTGAACAACACTTGCATTGTGGAGATGAAAGCCCACCTTTCTTTGCTTTTTTACGTTCCTTTTCTTCTCCTCGGTTCTCAGGTGATAGTAACATTAGTACGGGTAATGTTTCATCAGTTCCTTCTTCCTTCTCTACAAAATGGGCAACTTGAGCTTCTGCCTCTCTCGGAGAATCTGGAATAAGCTTTTCTTCAAGGGGAATATCTGTATAAGGCTCCATTTCAGATTCGTCGACGCCCTGCGTTCTATTTGGGAGTGTAGATTCCTTAAGTTTTCGAGGGCTTTCCGCCACGTTAAACTGCTCCTGAGACTCGAGAATTCCACGATCCTCCGATACAGCTAAAGGTGCAGAACCTTCGTTTTCTTTCTCTGGTAGTATTTCGGGAGCTGATAGCCTCCTCCGAAGCACGACACGTAATAGTTCGACCTCACCGTCAGTGTTCCCTTCATGAAATTGTTTGGTATACGAAGTTGGTGAGAGCATTTCTTCTGTTGTGACCGTGTTAGGAAGAGAATTAGTTGAACTGCTAGCTACCTGTAAAGTCGTTTTCTCGTAAACCGTTTTGGTTACAATGGTTTCACTATCGTGGGCAGATTGTTCATCAGTACTTTCTATTGACGTTACAACCGATGTAGTGGTCGTGATGAATTCGGTCTGCTTAGTGTCTTGCCAGTTGTTGTTTACTTCTTGCTTGCTGTGTGCCACATCAAATTTCTTTTGCTTTTGTTCCTCTTCTCCCTCTAACTCTAAAAGATCAGAATGAAACTCGACTTCATTCTTCTGCACAACAGGGGCAGCTGTTTCTTTTATGGAATCCTCACCTTCCTTCTTTTTTTCTACTTGAGGTATGTCTAACACAACTAACCGAGTCTCTTCCTTGCAAACGGATTCTGTTTCTTGGGTGTCAGCTTCTTGCTCGTCCAAAAAATTCTGAGAAATGGGCTTCTTTTGAACTATAACTGCAACAACTTCGTCGACAGCCTCTCGCTTTTCTTGTGTATCAGATTCTTGGAGTTGTTCTCCAGAGATCTCAGGATCAAGGAGCGACTCCATGTTAAGTGAAGCTCTTCTCTTCTCAACCTTAACAGCTGTCTCTTCCTCGACAGGTTCTTTGTCACTCGTTGGTGCTAATTTCACTACTTTACTGTCGGGATGTCCTGGAGATGGCTTTTCGACTATTGATTCAATATTGATAAGTAAAGACTCCACCGTAGCGTCGTTGTCTTCCTCCGTGTCGTCTACGAACTCATCACCAGGAGTTTCATGATCGAGCAGAACCTTTGACTGAAGTGTAGCAGTTTTCCTTTCCATCACTACAAGCTCCGCTTCTGTGACTGGTTCTTTCTGTTCTGTTGCCTTCTCTTGTATCAAAATTGACAGGTTGTCTTCCACTGGTTTGTTTCCATCGTCTTCCCCACCGTCGAACACAGCCTCCATGTGAAGTGAAACAGGTCGTTTTTCTATAACGAGAGGAGATTCTTCTGCTATAGCCTCGTTTATATCTGTTGATTGTGTGGCGTGTATTTCTTTGCCTTGTATAGGTCTCCTAACAAGTTTTACAGAATTTTCATCAAAGGCCTCATCCTCCTCTTCAACATCCCCCCTCACCTCCAGCATCGGGTGATAATTAAATGACTTCGGCGCTGTTTCCACTGCTACGACGGGAGTTTGTTCTATTGATTCCAGATCCACAAGACTTTTTTCTTCATGAGATGACACAGGCTTCTTTTCTATCACCTCAGGTTGATCCTTGTTTAATATGTTTCTAACATGTTCTTCTTCTTTATCAAACACAGCGTCCATATGAAGTGAGACAGGCCGCCTTTCCAAAACAGTGAGCGAATCTTCTACTATAACCTCTCTCATCTCAAGAGAGGGTGTAGATCTATTAGTGTCCACTCCATCGTCGTTTCTAGGTCTCGTAGGTAGTTCGATGGAAATAACATCACCATTTTTGTCCTCTTCCGGTTCTTCAGCCTCTTCTAACATGGGATGATACGAGAACGACCGAGGCTCCGACTTTACTACAATGGTGGATGTTTCCTCTACTGGTTTCTGAATGTCACTGCTTTTTCCTTCGCCAAACAGGTGCTCCATATGAAGTGACACAGGCCTCTTTTCCACAACCTCGGAAGAGGCCTCCTCTGCTGTTTGCCTGACTTCATCTTCCTCTCCGTGATTAAAAGCAAAAGTAGGTTCCAATTGAAGCGATACAGGCTGCTTCTCTACAACAAGAGGTAATTCCTCGAATATTACGCTCTCCGTTTCATAAGCTTTTGTTGTTTGTTCAGTTTCTTCTTTCGGGCCTTTTCCTCGCTTGATTGTGACTAGCTCATCCCCGATGTCTTTAGACTTATCGTCATTGTTCTTGTTCTCATCCTCAATCTTCTCTTCTAACATGGGATGATAACAGAACGATCGCAGCTCTGATTCTAATGCAACATAGGATTCTTCTTCTATTGATTCTGGAGCCTCGTTGCCTTTGCCGTCGTCAAACAATTGCTCCATGTGAAGTGACACTGGCCTCTTTTCCACGACTTCGGGAGAAGCCTCCTCTACTGTTTTCCTGACTTCGTCGTTTTCTTCCAGCACAAATGCAGCTTCCACGTTAAGTGATACTGGTTGTTTTTCTACAACAAGGGGTAGTCCCTCTGTTATCTCGTCCTTTGCATCTGGAGACTTTGTCATTTCTGCTGTATCTTTTCCAGCGTCTTTTTTGTATTTGATATCAATCAATTCATCGCCGTCTCTCACGAACTGGTCATCATCTTTTTCTTCAACCCTCTCTTCGAGCATCGAGTGATAAACGAAAAATCGTGGTTCCGATTCTACTGCAAAAGTTGAAACTTCTTCAATTGGTTCTCGATCTTCGGTGCTTTCTCCTTTATCAAACAAGTACTCCATATGAAGTGACACGGGCCTTTTTTCTATAACTTCGGGGGAGGCTTCCTCTATTTTTTGTCTGACCTCGTCGTTTTCCTCGAGCTCAAATCCAGCTTCCATGTGAAGTGATACAGGTCGTTTTTCTACAACAAGGTGCGGTTCCTCCGATATTTCGTCCTTTGTATCTATAGATTTTATCATTTCTGCGGTTTCTTTTCCATTGCCATTTTTAAACTTAATTGTGACTAGTTCATTTCCGATGTCTACAGACTTATCACCGTCATCTACATTCCCATCTTGATCTTCAAGCTTCTCTTCTAATATCGAATGATAACACAAAAGTCGTGGCTCTGATTCCACTGCGACAGTCGAAACTTCTTCAATTCCTTCTCGAACCTCAGTGCTTTCATCTTCATCAAATAAGTGCTCCACGTGAAGTGACGAGGGTCTCTTTTCTATAACCTCGAGAGACGCCTCCTCCACTGTTTGCCTGACCTCGCCGTTTTCCTCAAGCTCAAACGTAGCTTCCATGTGAAGTGATACAGGTCGTTTTTCCACAACAAGGGGTGGTTCTTCTGATAGTTCGTCCCTTGTGTCTAAACATTTTGTCATTTCCACAGTCTCATTTCTGGCGCCTTTTTCGAATTTGATATCAACTAGTTCATCCCCAACTTCCACGGAATTGTCATCATCTTTATCTTCTGCCTTCTCTTCTAACATCGTGTGATAAACGAACGATCGCGGCTCTGATTCCACTGCCACAGTCGACTCTTCTTTTATCGGTTCTCGAACCTCATTGTTTTCACCTTCACCAATCAAGTGCTCCATATGAAGTGACACGGGCCTCTTTTCTACAACCTCTGGAGAAACCTCCGCGATTGGTTCCTTTTCACTTTCCTCTTTCTCAAATATAGCTTCCATGTGAAGTGATACAGGCCGTTTTTCCACAACGAAAGGCGATTCTTCCGCCACAACTTGCCTGGAATCTGAATAATTCGTTGTTTCCAGGTCTTTTTCGGACTTCGCGGCTGCTGATTCTGCTTTGACTTCTAAAAAACTTTCATGAAAGTTATCACCCTTGTCCCCTTCATCAACAATCTCTTCTAACATTTGGTGGTAATGGAATGACCGTGGCTCTGATTCTGTTGCAACGGCATAGGCTTCTTTTACCGGCTCTAGAACTTCGGTGCGGTCCGTCTCACTAAACACGTTCTCCATGTGAATAGATACAGGCCTCCTCTCGATGACCTCAGGAGAAGCTTCATCAATTAATTGCCTTACTTCTTCCATGCTATGTGACACAGGCTTCTTTTCTGTCTCCTCATCAGGGGTCTCCACCTTTTCCTCTCTAGTGCCATGGTCCTCCTCGTAGTCAAAAACAGTCTCCAAATGAAGGGATGGTGGCCGCTTTTGTACCACTAAAGGAGATTCTTCCTCCATAACAATCATCGTGTCCGCAGCTTCAGTCTCGGTTTCCTGACCCTTTTGGAACTCTATAACGGTTGAGTCCTTATCTATCTGTACAATATCCACATGAACCTTTTCATCGCATTCCACTTTTTCGTCTTTCTCCACAAGCAGAGGGTGGTAATGGGACGATCGTGTTTCCACTTCCTTTGCAACGAGGGAAACTTCCTCTAATGGTTCCCGAAATTCACTACCCTCATTTTCATTCGATACTTGCGACAATTGACGAGACCCATATATCTCTTCGATGATTTCGAGAGCACTCTCGAGGCTAGATTGTCTGACTCCGTCAGTTTCCCCGTCGTTAAGGACAGCTCCCATATGCGGTAGCATGGATTTATCCTCCAAAACAGTCAGAGCGTCGTCTTCTATAGGATCTTTCTCATTTTCTCCTTGGACATTCTCCACTTCTTCGGACTTACTCTTTATGGAAAATAGTTCTGGGTCATTTTTCTCTATTACTTTTATATCATCTTCCATGGATTCTTTGCTTTCCAAAGTAACACCATTAACTGTTATTGATTTAGTGTGGTAAGTAATCGTTTTCTTTTCGACGGCAGCGGTTGAATCTTCGTGAGGCAGACCACTAGTCGTTTGCTTCTCGTTTCTCACAAATAATAGTTCTTTCACGTTGGTTTCTTTTGCTTGTTCTTCCTCTTCCTCTTCCTCTTCTTCTTCATTGAGACTTTCAGGAATTTCTATCTTCGTTCCTGATCGATCAACGTGCCTTAAAATAGTTGTAACAGAGGTTGTTCTTATTGTTATTCCTCCTTCTCCATTTTCAGTTTCAACCATTTTTTCATTTAATAAGTTCTGAGAACCCTCGCTAGAAGCTATTTCATCCTCTTCCTCGAGATCAAAAAAGCCATAGTTAACCACCCCTTCGCTCTTAGGTCCATTAAAAAACATCATATTCTTATCTTTCAAAGTCTCCTCTTCATCTCCCTCGAGAGAATCTGGCGTATCATGTTCTTGGCATTGCGTCTCCTTCTGGTAAACACCACTTTGACCATTTCCATTGATTGACGAAATACTCACATCATAAGTAATTGAGCCGCTGTCTTCCAATGATAAGGCTTCTTGCTCCATTTTCTTCGGCTCGTTTTTCGCCTATTTATTACTTCAGTGCTATAAAAAAAAAATGTTACATAAGAGTGATAAGTTAGAGAAAGTAATTTCCTTGTTGCCGGTGCCATAGCAGATTTGTACCTCCCCCGGATCATTTCCGAACTCTACCCCACCCCCCTTCCCGTACTATACAAGTGTAGGTTATAGTTAGATAAAATTAAATGATCATAATGCGAGAGTAGACGTGCAGAATATACTTGAGAAGAGATACAAACCCTTTCCCTTATTTAGTGGTGGCTTTACAACTGGTCAACACATAGGATCTATTAAAGTTCACAAAGCCGCGAACGGCTGAATAATAACAATTTTACTTCTGTTGTGAAATGTGAAATGTACTTTGTTGTCCGCAGGTATCCTTATGTGTTAACCAGACATGGTTTGATGCGCTACTTTAGTTTAAGGTGTAATGGGCCGGATGTAACCGGGAATTACAATTCATAGACCCCAACGCTTCAACACTCCTGTCTAGTGCCTTCATCAGGGGTGATCTAATCGTTGCGACAAGGAGGTCCTTTTGTATGCTCAATTATTAGCTGCCCTTTTTTCCTCACGAGGTGTAAATAGACGTCAGGTAGTAAGCCGCCATCACCACGATTTAAAGGAGCGTGGGCGGAATTATTATGCCAAGCTTCTAAACAAAGGCGTTGGTGGTAACGTCGATTAGTGGTGATAGTTTAAGAATTATCCTACCCAGTTGTATGAGGTCTCCTAGTGATTCAGGCTCATCGCTGAAAGATAAAATGGGTCATTAACATTTCCTCAAAGGGGTTATCCACGCTAGAACGGAGTGGTTTGGAGAAAGGCCTCAAGTTTGCTATTGCTCCTAGAAAAATACCGACAACTGAAATCGTCGCCGCTGTAGAGGAGAGCATTTCTCAACTCAACGACAACCATAAACACTAGGTAAGAGCAGAAGTAAGCAGCATACTCAAGCGAACTAAACTCCCTCCCAAAAACATTCAAAAGGATGTTTTCGATGCGCTTATAGCTCTTAAAAAGAATCCGGACAGGCTCGTATTATCTGCTGACAAGGGTAATTGTGTTGTAGTTTTGGACACACAATAATATTTTGACAAAGCTTTGTCCCTGCTCAATGACAAAAGTGCGTATACAGTCTTTCACTTTCATCCTACCAGTAAAACTAAAAGAAAGTCAAACAAAATGTTGCTTGATTTGAAAAAAAGCTGGTAAGATTAGTGACCATACGTACAAAATGCTACACAGCAGTGACGGCTTATGTCCACGTCTTTACGGCTTACCTAAAATTCATAAACCAGGAATTTCATTGAGACCTATATATCGTCTCTTTTGTTAATTCTCCGACTTATGCAATGTCTAGTTATCTTGCTAGAGTTTTTTCACCTGTTGTGGGGAGTACTGCGAATTGCGGATTGCATTAGAGATCAACTCTTAACGCTTGTAAAGAATTGGTATCTTTCCACGTTGTTTCGCTCCTCACTAAAATCCCAGTTGATCTTGCCGTTAAAGTTGTGAGATGCTTCCCTTGGACAAAGTACTTCATTGCCCGTGGAGGATATAACTCATCTGCTGTCTTTTTGCCTCACAATCTCGCAATTTGCATCAACATGTCTTTGGTACAGCTATGGGTTCGCCCGTCTCTACTGTCCTTGCCAATATGGTAATGGAAGACGTGGAACAAAAGGCTGTAGGCATTTCACAGGTTAAACCCTTGTTCTGAAAACGATATGTCGATGATGTCATCTCACCGGAACGCCTCCCATCGCAGTTGAATTCAGCCCTTGAGCGTGAAAAGGATAAATACTTGCCCTTTCTTAAATTAGAAGTGTGCAGAGCGGAGCAGGATAATTTAAAGGCAAGTGCCTGTAGCGTAAACCGACACACACTGATAAATACCTCGCTTTCCACTCTCGCCACCCTATTTGCCATAAAAAAGTCCTTAGCTAAAAATTCACTCAAGAGGACCGACTGCCTACCATCTTCACTTAATTCGAAAGCTGAGGGGAGATATGTGCCCGACGTCTTAAAGGTAAATGACTATACCAAAACATTTCTCCGTAATTGCCAGGAACCAGTTACAACAAGCAACACTCCCGATGAGAAGGAACCAGCGACTGGTTTTGCTGTAATTCCTTACATCCGGGGTGTTACAGAACCCATCGAAAGAAGTTTGAAAAGCCACAAAGTTAATGTATGTATTTTGTGCGATATTTAGACAGGCTTGCCCAGTTCAGCTCAAAGCTGGTTTAATTGGGGGTCTGTATAAACGATGACAAGGCCACACCACAACACCGCGAGCTACGTTCACTACTCTTCGCAATAAGTGTACTAAAACGTCCCCTGCTAAACAGTACAGAGGAAGATGGAGGAGAGAGAGCTTACGGTTTTTCGTCCTTATCAGAGAAGACTAGAATTTCTAACCTGCAGATGTCATAGCACAGATGTCATAGCAAAGGCAGCACATTCTCCTCAGTTGTTTCAAGACCCTGAGTGTCTGGTCCGATCTGGGGCTTGAACCCTCAACCTCCCGCAAGGCAGTCCGGCGTTCAACAACATGAGCTAACCAGGCAGCGGGCATTAAAGCTGCTTAAAAACCCTTTCAGACTAGCACATATTTTTTCCAAACCTAAGGATCATAACACGAAAAAACAACGAACCGATGCTATCTATTCTATCTTGGGTAACGACTGTGATCACAAGTATATCACAGACAGACAGACCAAATGTCACGTGCACCTCCGCCAATGTCATCTATTGCATAACTTGCTCTAACTGCCAAGAAATATACATTGGTGAAAAGGGAAGATGGCTTGGTGACCGATTCCGAGAACACCCTCCCGACGTAGGAAAGAATGACAAGGACGCATCCAAACCAGTCACTAGACACTTTAATCTGTCTGATCATTTCAAGAATCATACGGCAGTCTGCGGCCTTTCCCTACCTTTAGGTGGTTCGGGAAGCCGCAAAACTCTTGCACAAATGTTTATCTTTCAAATCGGCATTCTTAATCCCAATGGTATCAACGTACACTTTTCATTCTACATATTTAAACTTGTTTTTCTCGACACCACGTTCCCACCAATGGCGTGGCTCCGCTTTCTGCATCGAAACACACACACAACCCACAATCCCTCAATTCGCTTTGACGAGGGGTTAACGCTGGAAAAGTCAGCTTTGAAACTCTTTAGGGTGGCCAATTTACATTATCAACTCAGTCGACAAAACAAAATTACCTTGTTACTCCCACCGACGCAGTATCACGGTTTCTTCGGAAACTTACTCCCTTTATTCATTAGACCAAACGTCAGTTTGGCGCACGTTTGAAAGAGCATCAAAATGCAGTCTCTTTTTGCAAAAAAGAAAATTCAGCCTTGTCGAAGCACACATGCCTATAAACTAACCATACAATCGGGTGGGATAATTCTAAAACAATATCACCACTAGTCGATGTTACCACCAGCGCCTTTGTTTGGAAGCTTGGCATATCAACTGCGCCCACGCTTCTTTAAATCGTGATGATAGCGGCCTACTACGTGACGCCTATGTACACCTCGTCAGACAAAAGGGCAGCTAATTAGTGAGCATATAAAAAGACCTCTTGTTGCAACGATTAGATGACCCCTGATGAAGGCTCTAGACAAGAGTGTCGAAACGTTGGGTCTATGAATTGTAATTCCCCGGTTACATAAATTAAATCCTTTAACCAAAGTAGCATCAAACACATGGTAAACACATGTAGATGTAAATATGTGTAAAAACACCAACGGACAACAAAGCGCATTTCATATTTCACAACAGAAGTAAAATTGTGATTGTCAGTATGTCACTGCATTTAACCCGAATGTTTGCACAACATGATTCAGTGAAATCTGAGCGAGGAATGAATGCACATGGTTTGAGATGGACGTGTGTCCAAATGCGCGGGGGTCCAGATCCGATGAAACAGCGCATTGTAACTTCAAGACAGTTTCCTTTGGCAGATCACAGGAAATTTCGGATCAAAAAGTAAACTTCGTGGCGCACAGAACCATCATGCTAATTCTTACTGTTGACGACAAGAAAAGATGGTACGAATGAAGCGAACCCTCATGCGCACGGCGATACAGGGAGGACCCTCGAGGAGACTTGTCTCGCGCGCGTGCTTTGTGAGTTTCAACTCAAACGTCTCGCGCAAAATATTAAAATCGCAATTTTGAAAAACACAGATTGATCCTCTCTTGCGCTTCGATCAAATACTATACAATCAGGTATTCTTCTTTCGTGAAAATGTATGATATCAGACGTTGATAAGCACATATGCGGTTAGAGGTTTAAGGTTCGATTAGGTTTGTTTACTGTTGCCAAAATCATTCACAAATCAAAGCGTGACAAAGACAATAACAGAAGAGCCATAGGAAGTCACATATTTTGGATGCAATTATAGGTCAAGGTGATCGAGGAAAGGAGACAACGTAGCCAATCAGTTTTTAATTGCGGAGAACCATCCAACGCAATAAAGGAAACTGACCTCTTGAAGCAAGGAACCATTAATCCTACTCTAAGAGCATGAATATTTGTCGCTCTTAACTCGAGAGCAAAACAGACCTGTAACAATAGCTATCGCAAAAAGGTTAATTCAAACTAATTAACAAAAAATACCAATTAGATAAAAACAAACAAAGGAACAGAACTCACTTCTGTCTCTGCTGACCCGTGAAAATAAAACGATGCGAAATTTCACGGTTGCATGTAATCAACATCGATTGTATATTACGTTGGACCGGCATAGGAAAGTTTTCAATATATGTCATATCGACGTAGGTGTGTCAAGGCCAAAAATTATTTCGTTTTAAGAATGTGGGAAAGCTGAGAAATGTGACAGACGTTTCAAAATTAATGCCCGCAGGAACGAACGCTCGATCGGAAAGGTCAGTGGAAATCACGAATTCTTGACGAATGCATTCTAAAAAGGAAATTCAATGCGTTTTGAGCAATTTTCTATCGTAATTTACTTTCCAAATATGGAACTAAAGACATAATAATTGTGAACAATGGCACAACTGATCTGATAGTGAAATGTTGATGGGATGCATTTTAAATTTTATGTAAATGGTAATTCCAAATGGCATCACCTGTTATAAAATTTTAGTTCTTGGAAGAATACGTACTTAAAGCACTCAATTCTGTGGAAAATATTTAACGAAAACTTTCAAGGGAAAACGAATTTCACCTAAATTCCGCAGCATTGTTGATGAGTGGAGGTACCATAAAAATACTGTCAATGGCATAACATTGTTCCTCCAATTCATCGTTGAGTCTGGTTGTCACCAAAAATGTGCGATAAGAAGAAGGCTTTCTGATTTCAATCGCTGAAAGGCGACTAATTTCATCATGTTTACGATTTCTTGACCGTTGATCGCTCTCGAACAGTTGGGGACTGAAGTATACAGTGTGTTTCTAAACATCATTCTTCACGCGCGCTCAAAACACTTGTGTTGATGTTGGTTAAAAACAGTGGGAGCTCATTGTCACAATCGCATCGGAAGCTGAAGTCTGATCCTAACTTGTCTGTTCCCATGTTAACAATCGTAATAAAAAAACTATCCGTGGCACTCACCTTTGGAGATGAAAGCTTTGACACTTCAATCTTGGTAGAATTAAGCAAACCAATATCCGCAGTGCGAAGTCAGAAAATCGCCTTCGATCTGAAATATGATTCACTTAGATGGCTAAAAAAGATAATGAAAAATGTCGATCGAGTTTCAGTTTTCAAAACTTGAAGCCCTCGCGGATCGAAACTTCATTTCTTTAGTCCGATATCGCTCGCAGCAGGGTGATCATTCTCAGTTCTGCCGCAACGCAATTCCCCGCATAGTTTTAAAATTTCATGTCAATATTGGCTGTATATATTTCATGTCTATTTCACGGCTCGCAGCTCAAACAAGATTATCACGCGCGCTGATAACTATCAACGCGCGCGCGCGTTCCATGTCACAAACAAAGAGCCAATAAGATCTCAATGCCGGTGATGGCTTTTACGGCGAACGATTACAATTTTGACCAATTTACGGCTTATGGTTTATGTCTTTCCATTGTTGTCTCCTGAAATTTTATTACGAATAACTTTTTCAAGACTAAAGGTTACCATGTCCCTATTTTTCGCGGAACGGCCAAATGTTCTGGCCGTTCCACTGCTAACGGTTAACCTCATCGAGACCCTCAGTTTAATAGCTCAACTGCCAAGCATGAAAAATTCTGGACATCAAATCTTTTAATTCTAAACTAGAAAAGGGCAGAAACTTCTTTCTGAGAAATAACAGTCAACCTCACCACATCCTCAGCCGGGGTGGGGGGATAGGGGGTTACCTCCTCGAGATTTTGGGGGTAAGAATATTCTGGTAAGTAGGTATTAAAAATGGAAAGATTTGCGGTTAAAACGTTGTTGGCCACAGAATAGACTACAATAGAATAGGGCCAGTGGCACAAACTCAACAAAAATTGACCCAAGTACCCTGCCCCCGACCCCTGCCCCCCCCGTTGCCACAACCGAAATACATCATTGAAAAACAAACAAATAGACCTAAAAAAAGATAAAGAAACCAAACATTTACTCACAGCAAAAGCCACTAGGCAATGTATAAATAGAAATGGGGTATTTTCTCTGATCCTTGTGACTCCTTTAATTAAAAAAAACTTCTAAGAATTATCGCCTTTATTGGACATGTTCCCATGATGTTTAGTACCAAATCTATTCTCTTGACTCATTTACAGGAAATTGTATCACAATTAGACAGGAGAATATCTTTTTTGATCATTGGACTATAAAGTTAAAAAGAACTGCGGTCGTAGCTTCAAATTCCCTGTGTAATTCTACCTTTTAACATATCAATTATTGAATCAGTAAAACAATTACTGCTTACAAAAGTAGCCAAGACTTTTTAAAAATGAAATGTTACTCATTCTTTATTGAAGTCTGTTGTCAAGTACACAAGTGCACCTCATTTCACCAATTCCTGAGCTTAGCCTCACCCTCTAGTAGGTTCACTCTTAGAAATTTTATGCAAAACAATGGATTTTTATACTACTCACAGAGTGACGACAGTATTTACATTTTCATAACTTAGTAATTCTATCCCAAGTTAAATAAAAAAATTGTCAATTTTAAATAAATCATGAAAAAGCCCTTGATGCAAATTGTTTAAAAAAACAAAAAATTGTCAAGATTAATTTCACCTCCTCCATATGAAAATTTGCCTTTTTTTTCGCATTAACACAACTTCAAGTTATAAAAATTTATTCACCAATGAAAAGCACAATTAAAAAGAATAATCATCATTTGAACCAAAGACCAAAGGATTGAGGGTCACTGGGAATTGTGCTTCAAGGAGGAAGTCATAAAAAGGTAATTTTTTGATTGGGAAATAAACACAAATCTGGATAATTTAGAGGAGCAGGGATTCCATTAAGGCAATTAAATATCCCTTCGAGCATAAACATTCTCAAAAATACTACAATTATACAACAGACTGCTTAAAATTTGCAACTAGGCAAATCATTCCCAAATGAATGAAGTTTGCAGTAATGTGAGCATCAAACACCTTCCATTTTGTACAAATCTCGTAAGCAAGTAAGCTCAAAGTCATAGCAACTGCATACATTAGCCCCAAGAAAACAACGGTTCCCCAATTTGATATTTCAAAATTCAGCATCAAATGAATGAAATCACTGGGAAGCTCTGGGAATATTAAACCTACTAACTTTGTTGGCTGGGATGTCCAGATTGTACCATGACTGTGTTATTTTTATAAGACAGAAATTCCATTTTTAAAAGATGTCACTTTTGCTTCACTAATGAACCCTCAAAAAAATGAAAACCATAATTAAAGCAATGATGTACATTACAAGAAAGCTAACTCCAAGACCAATAGCCAGATAGGAGAAAGTACGGGCTGAGTTAGATGCTACCCTTGCAGAATTGTAGTCTCCACGTGCCATGGAATTGCGAACCTGAAAAAAGAACAATTTTATCATATAAAAACTCAAGGTAAGTGATCTCTGGGATAAGAACTGATCAACATATCCCCCTCCACATTCTGCCTTACAAACTGCTCCTAGATCATCCCCCACCCCAGAATGCAGATCTAAAGGGAGGGGAAAAATGTCACTGTCCTTAAGGGTAGTCTGTTAATTGGCCATTAAGGCAGTCTGTGGATGTCAAATGTAGTGAGGTCCTTACAGCAGGGTCAAATTTTTTCAGGCCACCCTAAATTCTGATTTAAAGATGCTGCCCTTACACCTGGCTTTAAAGACACAATGTCTAAAAAATTGTTGAGATCATGGTTCTTCATGATGCTAAAAAAAAAATACTTGTATCCATATGCATACGTGCATTCAAGAAAAATGCCGTGACCACAAAGCTGTACATTAAGACAAAGTAAAAAAATACACACTTGCCTCATTGGATTTCAGTATAGCCAAGATACCTACAGGCCAGCAGCAACACAGGCAGGCAAACCAAGCCAGCCCTTGGTAATCGGGAGGAGAGGCTTGGACATTTCCTTGCACCACAAAAGGTGGACCAGGTTGCTAAAATATGTCAAAACATCATCAAAACATTATCTGCGACAACTAGGATTGAAGAGGTTTTTCAAAATGGTAGCATTTTTTTTTTTTTGCCATTTGATGGCAATGGTTTTTTTTTTTTTTACCATTTTTGTATAATTGGGTCCTTTAGTGGAATTTCAAAAAGCATCATAAAATTTTCACAACTAATTTTAATGTAGGAGATAACATCGTACAGTTTCTGAAGTTTATTTGCCTTTTGCACACTTTTACCAAGCTAGGAACTTGAACATGGATCAAAGCCACCTCCCGGTTAGTTCAATGGATAGAGTGCTGGACTGTTGTGCGGGAGGTCGAGAGTTCGAGCCCCAGCCGGACCAACACTCAGGGTCTTAAAATAATTGAGAAGAATATGCTACCTTTCTATAACATCAAGAAAGGGTTAGATATTCTTTCTAGTCTTCTCGGATAGGGACGAATAAATGGAGGTCCCGTCTCCTGCAGGGTTAGGGGTAGGAGACGTTAATTTCCCACGCACGAGATTACTGTGRGATGGATGTCCTCCCCTGGGGTGGGATGGGTGGTTAACAGGACCCCGTTGATACCAGTGTTTACTATACTGAACGGGCTATCCTGTATAAATATAGATGTCTAAGGCCAACCAATATGTAACTGACTAGGTGCATTAACCTTTTCACTGCTACAAGGATGGACTGAGTATGTCTGGTATTAGATTACATATATGATATGAGGATGTGATCAATATGTCCTGAGTTGTAGTACTGGTATGAACACTACTACACCAGAAAAAAACAACCAACATATAAATATACCATGGCACGGTAAAGAACTGTACATTTGCGTACAGATGCAAGACCAAAAATGTGGAACATTTCTGGTGATGATAAAGATAATTCTGGCACTGAATTTGACAAGGAAAGTGATGAAAATTAATGCCTTAAGTTAGGTCCACACAGATCAAAAAATGGACTGCAGCAAAAGGGTTAAAATGGGACAAAATATTTTTGACCAAGAAGCAGAAAAAACATACTGTAGTAACCAAGAAACCACCAGCTGGAGCACCATGATACACTTGACCACCTTGGAAACTAGCTGGTGCTTGGTAACCAGGTGGTGCTTGGTAACCAGGTGGTGCTTGATTACCAGGTTGTGCTTGGTAGCCAGGCTGCAATTGGTAAACAGGAGGTGGTACTGGGTAACCTGGCTGTTGAGGGTAAGGAGTGGAGGAATCTACTTGATACGGAGGGGGTGGATCATCTGCAGGTTTATTCTCTGTGTCTGGTCGAGAATCTGGAATGTAAATGATTGGCAAATATTTCACGTTAGTATAATTTCAGAGCTAAGCAAAGAGTTTCCAGCAATCTGATCGGTTGAGCGGTTCCTTATATGATGCTTTATTATATGGCTGTGTCTCACAAGGACTGGGAACTACCGAATTCACAAATTTGATTGGCTGAAATCAATATTGAAAGCGGTCTAGATTTTCCTATCTAGACCAGCATCTAGACCGGTCCAGAAAATAAAGGAACAAAGAATATAAAAAAATTGGCATATCAGACACAGCCATAATAAACATCTTATCAACCGAGCTAGGTCGGTCTGTATGGGAGAATCTTGACCTCGGTCACTGGTACAGACCCCACTGCGTTCGGTCTGTACTGGCAACCTCGGTCAAGATTCTCCCATACAGACCTCCCACTCAGTTAATAAGAACTAAATATAAACCGCTCCATGCGGTTTATATAAAATGTTAAAATAAAATGATAATAAATGTTACTAAAATGTTATGATTTTAGAAATTTCTCTGTTGTTCAGCTCTGAAATTATACTAAAACAATTATTCGCCTCAGGTTTGGTAAATATTGTCAAATAATCCCCTCAACTTTGTCTCGGGGATTATTCAACGATATTTACTTTGCCTTTGGCAAATAATTGTTAACTATAAAATAAAAATTTTATCTCAATAGAAGTGTTATCAAAATTGTGACTAATGAACCGGTGCTCACAGGCAATTGAAGGCAAATTAATCACAGGTGGCCCAAGCATAGTAGGTGTGAATTTGGGTCTTAAGGTCATTAACAGGAATACCTAAATATATTAATATTAAATTTTAAGCTTGAGAGTGTGCTATATAAAAAAAAGAAATATTGAATAAAAAAATTTAAAAAAATAAAAAGGATAATAAAAGCGAGAAATATAAATGTCTCCCTAGCTTTATTCTGTAGTTGCCTTGTCACTTTCAGTCATTTTAATGGTTTTTTGTTGACTTTCTTTGTACCGCATGTTGTGGTACTGTATAATATTATGGAAGGCTGGTGACTTCAGTTGGTTCCGAGCACCAACCTTCACCTCTCCAGGGCCAACAAATTCCACATATGTCAACCAATCTCCCTTAAATAGGTGCCAGCAAGAGCAAATTGCATACACCTAACCATTAGAGCAGCAAAAGTTTCCAAATTTCACTGCACTGACCTAAGAGGAGCTCCAGCAGTTTACCACCCATTCTGACTAAATCCCTTTGTAGTAACACGCAATGAAAACAGCCTTACAGTGAATTCAAATCTGGTTGAATAACACCCACCGACTCCCCAAATGGTGTTGTTGAGTAGTAGATAAAAACCAAAAACCTTCCTGTCAATCCCCTAAAGAGTCAGTTATTTGGTCAGATGCACTTTAGTACTTGAAGCGACCAGCCTTCTATATTTTCATTTAGTATAATTTCAGAGCTGAGCAAAGAGTTTCCAGCAATCTGATTGGTCGAGCAGTTCCTTATATGACGCTATATAAACCGCTCCGTGTGGTTTATATAAAATGTTAAACTAAAATGTTAATGTTACTAAAATGTTATGATTGTAGAGATTTCTCTAAGTATTGTTCAGCTCTGAAA